GTTTACAGATCAGGAAGGGCTCCGTCAAAGCATAAAATTACATAAATAGTTTGTGCTCCCATCCATCAAAAGCCAGATGAACAGCTAGAATCTGACTCAAGACAACAAGAAATTCCCTTCTTAAAACTGCATCAGCTGCTCTCGTCAGCTCCAGATGTTTAAAGACTTGTTAAAAGAAGAGGGGATACTTTACAGTGGGAAACATGGCCCTGTCCTAACCTTTTGAGATTCAAACCCACCTTTAAAAACAATTGGTAAATCTTTAGTTTGAACATCTGTTTATTGCGTTTTGTTGCGAGTACCACAAGGGTTTATGAAATTAGCAAATCATTGCGTTGCGATTTATTAATGCATTTATTTCACATTTTACACATCATTTATTGGGGCTGTAAGAATCAAGTCTAAGTTTCATACTTGCAAAGCTGCCTCCTCAACCAAAATACTATTCAGGGTGATACAACAACCTCAACTCTTGCAGTAAATGAACTTTACATTTGCCAAATCAGTGTCTGCTTCTCTCAGTCAGGCAAAAACAAGTAACTCTAGTCATTATCATGAAGCTGTCTCTGGTGTGCGTCAGCGATGCAGTTCAGGTAGCATGGCAACATGCGAGACAGCTGCTTTAATGTGCTCTTCTCCAAGAAGACTGAGGCAGTTTGTTTCTCTTCTACAAAAAGGACCCACTCTTTTGGCACAAATCCCCCATCCATCCCTGGGAAACCTCTGATCATCATGTCATTGTCCGCAGTGATACACTCTAGCGACTGTGCTTTAAAAGCAAGAGGGCTACCCGCAGTGTATAATCAGTCTGTGCAGGGTGCTTGTATCTGTTTGTGTGTACATGCATCAAAGTTAAAGAGCTTCAAGTTAATGTTCATCTGTGGGAGATACACTGGAGAGCGTTTCTGCCACTGTATCTGTGTGCATGAGTCACTTTTAGAGGGTTCACCAGCTAATACTGAGCAGGGACTCTGTATTTAACAGGAGATAGAATAATTGTCTCTTCATCAGCTCTCTGGAGATTACAATAGTTAACTGTCAAGAGAATCAGAATTCTTGACGTTTTTTTTTTTTTTTTTCAGTCTGCCTTTGAAAGACGCTGTTCAAACAGGCAGCTTTTTTCTTTTTCTGTAAGTGAATTTCCAAGACGAGCTCCACCATCCAGCCCCAGTGCGTCATAAGCAAAAGGTAGTTGTTTTGACAAAAAAAAAAAAAACGCTAGAGAAAGACTTAGAAGAAAGGGTAAACTGGTGAATGTGGAAGGCAAGGAGGGGAGGAACAGCTTGACAAGGCATCTTATCTTCACTGTGTTCTCCACTGTGCTCAGGCTTTAAGCTGCTTTCTGAAAGGTAGAATTCATGCAGCAGTCTCCCCCCACCCTCACACACACACACTTATTTTTGCTGAGTGCTATAGGAGAAAAAAAAGAGTCTGAGGGTAATAAAAAACCCAGACAGTTTTCACAAGACATCTCATTTGTGCGCTCATCTGGGCTGTGCAGTGTATACACAGTCGAAGAAACACACACATACACACACACCCCAACACCTGATTTGAAAGGTCTTATCTGTATTCCAAACACAGACTAAAGGTTAGACCAGCTACCAACATCAAAAACAAAAGAAGGTGTTTGGATGGAATTTTCCACTATATACAGTAGTCCCTCAATTATCTTATTGCGGGGGTTAAGTTCCAGACAACCCCGCCATAGGTGAAAATCCACAACACTATATTTATTTTAGTATTTATTTATATTTTAAGGCTTTATAAACCCTTCCCATATTCTTGCAATGTTCTTAACAATGTTCTCTCTTAAGCCTACATAATTTTAACAATATACATATATATAAATGGTAAATGGACTGTACTTATATAGCGCCTTTCTATCTTATTTCAAGATACTCAAAGCGCTTTACACTACAGTCTGTGCCTCATTTACCCATTCATACCGCACTCTACTAGATCTATACAAAGCTAATTGAACAAATCATTCTAATGAGACTAATCAGAGCTTTTAGATCACGTTCATACACTGATGGGACACACATCAGAGGCTATGAGGGGTTCAGTGTCTTGCCCAGGGACACATCAACATGTGACTGCTGGTGGATTCGAACCCCCAACTCTCGCATTGGAGGACGACTGCTCTAACCACTCAGCCACAGCCGCCCCATATATATGTACTGTACAGTACTGCAAAATTTTATATGGAGACTCACCAGCTCTGCAGACCAGCTGCTAGGGCTCGGTTCCAGTTTGGCAGACTTATCCTGCAGTAGAGCTGTCATTTCTAACCTGAACCCGGAGCCCGGCTGCGCCCGACCCGAATTCGTGCTGGGCCAGGCCATAATAATGTGCTTAATGTGTGGGTCGGGTCGGGTCGGTGTTGGGCTTTTTATTGTGTCAGGGACATGTGCGGCCGACGATCTACTTATATGCCAACATGGCTTGCCGTACTTTCACCTGATGTATGCACACTGACCAGCCGGTTGAAAGAGCTAAAAAGTTCCATTAAGATGCAGATAGACCACTGCCAGCGATCCATCAGCCCAAATGGACGTTCATTCAGCTGCTGCACTCAGCGGGTTCGGACCTGTATGTCAGATCAGGTGGGGTTCAGAGCTAATGGCTGCGGGTTGGGGCCGGGTCGGATTGGATTTTTTGGACTCGGGTGCAACTTTCCCCTGCAGCATCACAAAGCCCACTGCCCCATCCAGGTTGATGTGCATGTGATGTCGCTCCAGGAACGACACTCTATGCATGAGGACCAGTATCACTGTGATCAGAACCAGGCCGAACCCCGTTACCGTCCAGCAGAAAGCAGCGGCCCTGTTCAACAGAAAGCACAGTTGGCTTCTGGGCCGTGTAGTTCTTTTGACTTGTGTTACAGTATAGGCTTAGTGAAAGAAAACTCCAAAATGGCAGTACATGCTCAAAGTTTTAAAAAATTGATCCTATTGGTTGGTTCCCGCTCCCGCTAACTTTTTATTCCGTACCGTCCTGATCATTAGTTATATTAAAGTTGACAATCATGTGTCGTGTACAATCTTACGTTGAAAAACCGCGAAAGAGCGAGTCTGCGAAAATTGAACCGTGAAGTAGCGAGGAACTAAATTAAACTTACAGAAGGTATTCATTAAATGCACAACTACAAGTGACTAACCTCTGAGGTTCAAAATGACCAGCTGACCTTAACAAACAAAATAGCTCTCACTTAGTCAATTTTACACCTGTTAAGCTCAGAGTTTTACCTGGTAGTAGCTGAGAGTCATTCACAGCACATACGCTGCATGTGTCAACTTATATTATTTTGTCAAATTGCAGATTATGTTATTGCCAAGGTTTGACCAACTCTGCCTGTTCAGATCATCTTAGAAGTCTGGCATGAAAAGAGGCCTGCTATATGCAATCCTTCAAAGAATGCATGTAAATTTTATAAACCACATCTAAATGTATATATAATAGTGTAATTTCTATCATAGAACTACAGTATTCTGCTGTTCTTGAGTATGAGTTTCTGCTAAAGTGAAGCTAAACAGTAAAGTTGCCAGTTGCTACTGAGACAGTGAGAAATTACTACTTCTCTTTTTTTGCTCTTCTCAAAGGAAATTGCCTCACCCTCTGGTGTGTTGTTGCAAAACGCCATTCTGGTAGTTCTGGGGTTAACCAGACGGTTCCAAAGGCGTTAATCAACGCGTGCTATTATGAAAGTCATAAAGTACACCTCATGAGACTCATCAAGGATTGGGCTGTCAGAAAACGCGATGCACACCGTGGTCAACAAGCTGTTTTCTTTCTTCTTCTTTTTGAAATAAATACAAAATGCATCCAAATTTGGATTTTATTTAATTTTTTAATTTTTTTGAGTGTTTTATTCTTGCGGAGCAACATATGTGTGAAGTAATTCCTGCTTGAGGCTAACTGCCATTTATATCTACAATGTCATCACTGAATTACGTGCGCTTGACCTAATGCACCTCGTTAAAAAATTATTTCATGGTCTAATTGCTGCAAATGCAGAGTATTAAGGTTGCACGGTGCCTCTTAAGGCCAAGGAAAATGCTGTTGGTGTACAAGGTTGCTCATGTCTAAATACAAAACAAAGTGTTTTGGGCACAAACCTCGCATGCTCTTTAATAGAACAAGTAAACATTTACAGTGAGTCAACCCATTTTCCCCTGAATTTAATTTTTTTCTCTCCTCCTCTTTCTGGTTTGTTTGTATATTTTCTCTTCAAATCCTTGTTGCACGGACGTTTCATGTCTCTGTTCTAGCGCCTGTGGTCTGTTTCTCTTTCTGATCAGCCTTCCTGTTGCTGCAGAGGAACTGTCGGCAGTGAGATAAGGACAGCCAGAGCACATGTTTTGCGATAGTGTGGTATGGGAACCTAACAAATGCAAGCGGGAAGGCAACAACGCTAGCCAGTAAGGACAAATTAACAGATTATCACGAGTTGCTTTTGCAGCATGGATGTCTTTGGAGCTGTGAGGACAGAAAACTGAAGACCAGATGGGGCGGAAGTCCTGCAGCAGCAGCAGCAGGAGTCAGCCGGAGCTGATGAGGTGAAATATCAGACTCTGTGGGAACAGACAAACTTTAAACAACCTGCCTGAGCGAGGATTAAGGAGACTTGAATAAATCCAAGGAACAAACTGTGGATGTGAGGAGAGGGAATCAGAGTTTAAACATCCATGGCCTTGAGGATCACAGAAGGATATGCATGCTGATGAACTTGCCTCCTCCATCATGGCACACATGAGCGGAGAGCAGGACTGAGGGGAGGATCGGGCCTTGAGCGCATATGGATCTCGCTCTGAATTGATGACAGTTTGCAGCAAATGGTGCTGCAGTTCTGTCTGCCGGAGTAAAAAGTGGATGAGGGTGGTGGTGGTGGTGGTGGGGGGGACTGCGTGGGAGAGAGGCAGCCATCCAGAGAGTGAGACAGCCAGTTGTAAGTGGAGGCTGGGGGAGTTTTCTTCAGCCGGTCAGCTCCAGCAGCCATGAGTCAGAGGAAGCTGACACGACAGCTGAGGTTGTGGGAGAGTCCTGAGGGTCTACCTCACCATGCCCCCTCCCTCACCTCACCTTTGTCACCAGACGATCAATCACGCGGACACGGGGGCTCATCTCTGTTTCGACGCTTGAAGCTGAACCGCAGCATCCAGTTCAGACGCATGCCCAACTTTCTGTGCAGGTACAGTAATAAACTGAGGCTGTGGTAGTTAAAGGTACTCAATGCAAAATATGAACTCAAATATGAAAAGGTTCTCCTGTTTTTATTTTTTTCGGTATCTTGGCATTCATTTCTGAAATGCAGGTACGCATTTACTGTAAATAAAACACTTTTATCTGCACACTTTGCTTAAATACAGCCAAATATGTACTAATACATCAAAATTGTTAGACTTTTTTTTATACCTCAAACAGTTCTACCACAGACATATTCATTGTTGACATATTTTCAATCATTTTGGTTAATCTATTTTTTTTTGTCATTTATTTATTCATTAAAAAAATAAAAATAAAAAATAAAAATTCACCAGAAAGAAAAAAATGCACTGAATGAAAAGGGTGCAGAAAGAAGAAAACAATTCTTATAATATCTGCCCCTTATTTAAAAAAATATGTAAAATAACTTTAAACAAACAACAACTTAGGCTTGAACATCTCCAAAGTGAAAACAAAAATGTTAGGCATTATTCACTTGGTGCCATACTTTCCTAACAATTTTAACTTAATCATCTTTTTAAACATGTAAATTGTTTTTAAAAAAATGATGGTGATATCGAGACAATTCCACATTTCCTGAATTACAATGCAGCTCCTTCAGACTAGTTCTAAATGTAGGTTTTACAAACATTTTCATTTCCTTAAAGTTATAATGACTCTTTTTTTAAAACATATTTTAATTTAATATTTGGGGGTAATATTATTTATGAGCTTTATACATGCTTTATACATTCAACCAAATCATAAAATTTTAATAATTTCAACTGATGAAATAATATATTTGTTGGGTGACCATAGCACTTCCTACTAATAATTATTATAGCTCTTTTTTGTAAAATGAAAATAGGATTTGTAATTGTTTTGCATGCTTTTCTCCAAACTTCAATACAATAGATTAAATATGGAACAATCATTACATTATACAATATATACAAAGCTTTGCCATTCAAAAACTCTTTTACTTTATACAATAATGAAGTTGATTTTTCTGTTTTTATTCGTAAGTAATTTACATGAGATTTCCATGTCAGCTTCTCATCAATAACGACACCCAAACATTTTATTTCATTAACTCTATGAATTTCAATACTGTCAAGTTTAAATGGGACTTTGATAATTTTCTTTCCATTACTAAATTTCATGTAGGTTTTTTTTTTTTTCAAAATTTAGTGATAACTTATTAAGTTGGAACCAAGTTTGTATTTTTTACGAATTCTGCCTGTATCATCTCTAACATCCGTTCGAGATCTTCACCCGAACAAAAAAAACGTGGTATCATCTGCAAATAAAACACACTTCAAAAGCCCTGACACATCAACCAGATCATTCACTTACAAAATAAACAACTTTTGGTCCCAACACAGAGCCCTGAGGAACTCCACATCCATTCACACAAAATTCAGAGCTTACATCGTTTACCTGTACAAACTGTCTCCTATTATTCAATAACTAGATACCCACTGTAGTGCTAATCCTCTAAGCCATATTTATTCAGTAAGGAGAATGGTGTGGTCAGTGTCGAAGGTCTTTTTTAAATCAACAACCTTTAATGTGTTCCAGCAAAATAAAGGTCTGATATGTGACCTTTTTTTTTTTTTTAGCTTATTCAGGCATCATCATATATTATTATTAATATATATAACTGTAATGCAAATCACAAGAAGATTTTGGAGTGGATTACTCATAAATTCAAAAAGCTGAAGTCTGATAGTTACCCTCAGAATTCCCACAGAAAAAAATAAAATAAAATAAAAATGAGGGATTAGCATGTGCAGCTTAAAGAGATTCCCCTCCAAGCAGACATTTTTGATGTTTTTCATTACTGAGGAAACGCGTTTAATGATAATTTGATCGGTACCACATTTATGAAGCCTCGTGGGGAAAGGGGTGTCTTATAATTGGCCAATTTAGAAGAGGAAATTCTAAAAATATCCGGCTCTGCTTTTGAAATCAAAGTGAACAACGTTCAAGGCCACTTTCAAAAGTTTAACAAGTTGAGGGAAAAATATAGCTAAAAATAGATCCGATAATTGGAATGGAGTCTACTTGCATATTTGTCCTTGTTGCTGATTTAAACAAAAAGAGCATAACTGGTTTTTATCTGCTTGTTTGGTTTTGAAGTACTGACACAGTGCAGAAATCTTTGTAAATGCAGATCTGTTTATTGGTGGAGTAATACGATACCGCTGCATGCGTCACCCACATGTGTGCATGTGCATCCATGTGTGCAAAAGATAAACAAATCGGGGATGTCAGCATGACTTGAGGTCAAAGTCCTCAGGGATCTTCTAACAGCTCTGAGCATTTCAGAATCGGTCAAGAGTTCATCTTAGATCCTTGGAGTTGAATCTAGAGCTCAGCTCTGGCTCAATTATTCATGTCTTCGTACATGCAGCTTTGACGAGAGTGAATTGGCGGTTGTTATTGCTCAATTAAACGTGACTTCCTCTGAAAAAATGACTTGTCAGTAAAGTGTAATTGTCAAAGCAGCCCAGAGGCGGTCTGCCAACTCAACATTAGTGCAGTCACAGCACGAGCATCTGTCTCCTCTCTCTCTCTCTACAACTTTCTCTCCAAGTAACGACAAACACTGCAGGCTGCATGTCTGGCCATCAGGGTTATCGTCTTACTGTTTATGACCACGGAGAGACAAACACAGAGCAACACAGAAACAGGAAATGTAACAAATGTAAACCTCCTGTCTTCCTTCCTTTACTCCTTCAGCTTTGATGCAGAGAATGGTCCCTCACCAGGCCGCAGTCCCATGGACTCGCAGGCGAGTCCTGGGTTGGTGCTCCACCCTTCGTTTCCTCAGAGCCAGCGCCGGGAGTCCTTCCTGTATCGCTCCGACTCGGACTACGACACATCCCCTAAAACCATGTCGCGCAACTCCTCCATCAACAGTGAGGGGTGAGTAAAAAGACATCCCTGCATGGATGATGAGTGGTTGTACAACCCCAATTCCAAAAAGTTTGGGATGAAACTGTGAATAAAACAAAATGGAACGATTTGCAAATCTCATAAACCCACATTTCATTCACAGTAAAAGAAAGTCCACTTAGCAAATGCTTAAACTTAAGAATTGAACCATGTTGGAGGGAACAAGTAATTACATTTTGAATTTGATGGCAGCAACACATCTACAGTATAAATATTCAGACAGAGTCATGTTTCCCACTGTGAAGCATCCCCTCTTCCAGCAACAGTCTGTCAACGTTGGAGCTGAGGAGACCAGCAGCTGGAGTTTTTGGAGGGAAATGTCCCATTTTTGTAGGATTTTAGTTATTTAACACTCCTGGTTCTTTTTAATTAGAAGGGAGCATACGCTTTGCTAAAACTTGTATATACTTTTCTTACACATCTGGCTTTTCCAGCACCCCCAGGCAGTGATGTACCCCTATACCATCAGAGAGGCAGTGTTTTCAACTGTGAGCTGAAAATAGGCCAGATTATCCCTCTGCTCATTTGTACTGAGGGCATGGTGGCCTCATGGTTTCAAATAAAAAAAATAACAATTTTGATTTGTGTGACCAAAGAACAGTTTTCCATTTTGCATCAGTCCATTTTAAGTGACTTTGGACAGAACAGTTTTTAATAGAGTGCTGCCTGAGGGCCTGAAGATCAGCCAACACTGACCTTAGTCCTGTTCTTTCTGCACAGATAGTTCTCCAGATTCTTAAAATATTTTATGATATTATGAACTGTACATTATAGAATTGTAATTTTCCCCCAATTTTCTGTTGAGGAACATTATTCTGAAAGTGTTCCCACTATTTTTAGATGCAGTTTTAACTGACTGGTGAACCTCTGCCCATCTTTACTTCTAAGAGATTCGGCCTCTCTAAAATGCCAGCTTCTTTGAGATGTGTTGCTGCCTTCAAATTCAAAAATTACATTTTTGTCTTTTAAAAAAATTGCTTAACTTCTTAGTTTCATTGCTTGATATGTTTGCGTTCCATTGAGAGAGTGTGTGTGTTGGGGGGGGATAATAATAATCATAAGATTAGCAATTATCACATTATTTACACTCAATGCCCAAATATTGTTAGAATTAATGTTATAATTATGCAAGTCTTGAGCTAATGGAGGCAAGAGAACAAAAAATTATGGTCTCTGGTTAAGCTTTAAAGAAAAAGAACAACCCTTCCGTGTGTTTTTCTGGATTAATTCTCTGTTTAGACCCACACAAGTCTTTGTAAACATCCACCTCACAAATGCAGCCTTATTTATAAGCGCTCATGTCGAGCCTCGGAGCTGCTCAAACCACCCATTTTCCTCTAACTCTGCACTTTCTGGCCTTTTTGTCTGGCAGGCACGCCGAAGACATGATCGTCACCCCTTTTGCTCAGGTACGTTTTACTGCGGTGCCTATTTTCTGTAGCTAGCCATAAAAGGTGGCAAAGTAGTGCAGTGAACTTGTCCTCCCCTCCTTCTGCTCCCTACCCTCTCCCTTCTTCCTTCCCTCCTACACTGTCCATCCACCCCCCAGGTGTTGGCCAGCCTACGAACTGTAAGAAGCAACTTCACCATCCTCGCCAATGTCACAACACCCACTAACAAGTCAGTATCATGCAGCCAAAATCCTCTTCCCCACACTTGTGCTCGTCATGACTACCTGCTTTGTTTGCAATGTGTGTGCGCTGATGTCTCCGTCTCCTTCGCTCCCATGTGGAAACGTTTATACCCATCATGATTAACCGGTTTATGAGTCTCAGACACCGCTGAAGGAAAATATCATCTGCATCATCTAGCACATTTCCAGTTAGCTAAACTGAGGACTGAGCGCATGGAGCTTCACATCTCTGATGTATGTCCCTGACTCTTTGCCCAGACGATGGAGATGGTCAATAATGCTAAAATTATTCTCCCTTGAAATGCAGCAGACAGAAGGCGCTCGAGCTGGCAGTCTTTTAGCTCCACGTCAATATGGTATATACAGCAGAGACTTATCAGCATCTATAATTGCACAGTGCTGCACCCTGGGAAGGCTTCTCCCATTAAATGATTATTAAAAAAGAAAGCAGGAGTCAGGCTTTGTCTTTTACTATTTTTAGATATAATTGAGCTGAATCTGGAGAAGACCGGTGCACTTTAAAAATGCAAAAACAACATTGTGTAATTCAGTACTAACATAATTGTTGACACAGACCAACTGTTTTATTTAAGCTTTAAAGTGAATCATAAGAAAACTAATATTTGTTTCTCCTGTGTGAATCAACCTTGTTTGTTGCCTCATCCTGTAATGCTGGTTGTAATTTTGGTTTAATCCCAGAAGGGGGCAGCAGAGATTAATTTTTCCTGTGATTTGATGATGTCTTTGTCCACAGGAGGTCACCAGTGACCAGTCAACCCACTGTCCCCCAAGCTACACTCTCTGGTATGCTGTCAGCTAATTCAAATGTAATCAAAGGTGTTTTTTATTTTTATTTTTTTATTAACGTGTTAAGGCTCCTAAAGTTAATTAGCTGTAATGAAACTGTATGAAACATCACAAGGTGTGTTTTTTTTTTCAAGCAAATGTTTGTTTTACTGGATTTATAGGGACTGAATGAAAAAAAAAAACCATTAAATTTATGAATAGAAATTGTATTTTAATAGACAGAATGGAGCATAAATTGTATCCCTTATTTCTATATATTTTATTACTAAGAAGCCAGACTTAATTGTAAACTTTTTAAGCTGTCTGGAGTATTTTCCTCAGGACTTCTAAGTGTGTTTAAAAATAATACAACTTTGGCTGCTTTATCACTAAATTATAGTTCAATGATGAACCATAATTAAAAGTAATATTGTTTTATTTTTCCATTTTAGCTTTTTAGACCAATTAACACCAGACGTCTTAAATTGGGTTAACTTTAAATGTTAGTCATGACATCCAATGATTACATTCTGATAGTTTCATTAAAATCTGCCAAGTGGTTCCTGAACTATTTTGCCCAACAATCACAAGAGTGCACACACACAGATATGGGCAAAAGCATTATTTCCTTTGCTTTCAGAGGCGAATGAAAATAGGTGAAACTTTTCAACTCCTAAACTGCATGACGTTTAGCATCCAACTCCAGATTTAAATAAAACGAGCAGAAATCAAGTCTTCCCAATATTTTGACACCACTTTGGGTGCTCTTCTTTTCACACTGGTTTGTTGTATCCCCTCTTGTTGTATCCCCTGAGAGTGTGTCTGTCTCCTTCTCAGAGGAGACATACCAGCAGATGGCTCGGGAGACTCTGGAGGAGCTGGATTGGTGTTTGGACCAGTTGGAGACCATTCAGACGCACCGCTCCGTCAGTGAGATGGCCTCCAACAAGGTGCGCTAAGATCTGCACACAAACATGAACCTCCACTGACCGTCAGCATCAACGCAGTGTGTTACCAACATCTTGACGAATAACAACTTTTTAAAAGTTCAACGTAAAACCTTCCCATTCATTAAAAGACTCTTCCTCTGTTGACGTATGACTGTGCCAGGACTGCTTGCTTTGCTTAACGAGTCACAGCAGGGCTGCAGTGTGTTTCAACTAATGATTATTATGGATTGTTGCGTTTTTTAAGGTTGATGAGTTGGAGTTTTTGTTGTGTGGCAACATGGCGTGCAGCCTTGTTGCATTTTGAGTTAGTAACTCATGTCTGTTTGCGTGAACATGGACATCTATGGATTTGTGTTTCTAGGGGTAGAGAGGGTGAAAGAGTTGTACAGCATGTGACGGTCTTTGTGGAGGACATGGGGACGACTGGTCCTGATGCTGATGTCTCTGCTGTAACCTTGGTTGCTATCTAACAGCAGCAGGGTCTGCCCTTCCCTTTGAGTCATTGGCTTTCCACTCTGACCACGAGACATGTGGTTTAGACAACAACCAATGAAAGAAAGAAGATGCACCTTTAACAGTCTCCTTCCTTAAAGAGACAGCGCCACGTCCCTTGTTTTAGCCCAGAAATGCCTACTGTCTTCCACTAGCTCTTATTAAATTAGGTGATGTCTTCATATTCAGTCAGACTTGTAAGGAAACAATTAAAAAGCAAGAAACAATACAACACAGCTTGCATGTTAAAGCGTGGACAGTCTCAAGGGACACAGAGGGTTTTTGTGAACATGTTTCAGCAGCTGAGCAGCAGAAATCCTCTAACTCAGAGGTGCACACACTCCTACTCACATCCTCACTCACACACATATTTTGACAGACGTACATGCTGTCGTGTCGCACATGCGCACTCAGCCTTGAACGGGAGGCAGGGGCAGACACACACACATGCACGCGCCTGCAGCCACTGCCTGATTAGCTTGAGAGGGCTGTCTACAGCATCCAGGGAGATGGCGCAAGCGGCAGAGCATTGGAGGACGAACGGCAGTCTGAAGGATTAGACCTGTGGTGTTTTGGCCGGTTGAAGAATGGACTGACTTGGAGCAGAAGACGGGATACATCAGGAGGAAAGCTGACTGCATACAAGCAGAGAGGTGGCACAGACAGGCTGCTGCACCGGTAGGGCCTTTGGATCTGTACCATTGGGGAGGGGCAGGAGACGGAGGAAGAGCGAGACGGTTTTCCAGACCAAGGCTTTGGTGTGATTCTTCAGCCCGATCGTCTGCCAGAGGCCTACCTCCATCCTCCTCTGTCTCTTCTTATCCAAGCCTCTCTCATCCCGACTATTCTTGTTTTTTTTTCTTGCTGTTATCGTCTTCACCCCACACCCTCTCTCCATCTCCCTTTTCCCAAAGTTCCTGCTGTCATCCAAGTTCCTTTTTCCTCCAGTTTCAATAATTACAGCCTCCGGTTTGTCTTGCTATCTCTTCATTTTATATTTTTTTTCATCCTAATTTTTTATTTGTGAATTAACTCCTGCAAACCCTTTTTTTTTTTTTACATCCTTTCCAAACTAACCCTCATCTTGTTCACCAACTCCTCTCTGTGTCCTTCACACAGTTCTTCTTGTTTACCTCCATCTACTCATCCAGCACCCACCTTAATCCCTGGTGACTTTAGATTTGGGTCGGCCTGCTCAGCAAATGGGATAAGATGTAGTCTCCACAGCAGCCAGATCCAGGGGGGGTCCTGGTCTGCCCATCGGGGGACCCTCATCGTTTGAACACACTGAGGCTGGAGCCTGACTCAGGACCAACAGTGGGGGCCTGCTTTGGAGTTCTGCATGTAGACAAGGACGACCAGCACCAGCTGCCCCCACCCTCAACCCCTTTCCCCCCGTTCCCTACAGTGGGGCAGACGCCACTCTGGAGTGTCCCGGCTTGACTGGCTGTGGCCTCTCCCCCCACACCCTGACAACGCCCTCATGCCACTGGGGCACCCGCAGTACCACCGCGCCACTTCACTACCGTCCCTCCCGCCTGTGTCTTAGGCCCAGACCCACGGTGGCCCTCAACATGGGTGTGGTTGAGACCATTGACCCGGCGCCATCCCCCTGTCCCTCGCCTGTACCGGGGGGCTACAGGCTGCCCCGCTCCTCCAGCTACAGTCCCCTGCAGGGGAGGCCGGGGGCAGAGCTGGACCTTGGCGTGGCCGATGGAGGAATTGGGGAGGGTGGTGGAACAACGGCAGAGCGCAGGACGCCCTTAGTAGATCTGTTCTGCGAGACCTGCTCAAGGCCCTGGCTCATCGGTTGGTGGGACCAGGTAGGCTGAGACAACTTCAAGACAGAAAGCAAAGTCTGGACCATCCAGTCTTGGACACATGCTCTGGAAACTTTATCTACTGTTTTTTGTTTTTTTTTATCAAGTTACAGTACATAACTGTTAAATGTTGTGCTTCGTTCATTAGTGTTCAGCTTTTTGTTGTTATAGGTGAACTGCTTTAAGGTAAACATGAAATTGTGGAGTTTGGCATTGGCTTTGAGAGAAGCTAGAATGTTCCTGAATATAATATATCCGTAAATCCACCCAAGACGGACAGAATTCATCACTTCTGCTCGGTGTCTACATGGCAGATATGTAAACAAAGACTTGTATTAGTCTCATTCCTCGTCTGCCTGTGGATGTTCGCACTTTGACACCTAGTCTACATCTCCGTTCTATATATAAAAAAGCTGAGCCGCTTCAATTAAGACAAAAATAATTCATCCATTTTTACTGAAAGCAGATGAGAGTGCCACACAACGACCATTCCCATCCTTACCCTGAGTCCCACATCCCTCCTGAAGCTTACCTCGACACAAAGTTCAGGAAGTCACGAGAATGTAAAAGTAATGGACTGAACATTTATCTAATCCTTTTATAGTCAAATCTACAGAAGTTCAGCACAAAAGCCAACTTATCTCCCTGCCCTTGGTTTTTCTGCATCAGAAATATCAGGTCACAGTTCAGAGCAAAGTGTGCACGTGCGCTGTTTGTTGACCCATGACTGTTAAAAAAAAGGTGTATCCCTCCTTGGTCGTCAATATCTGCAGGTGTATAAATGCCTGCAGTCATGTTTGTGCTCTGTCTCATTAGTTGGTGTCAGAGGAAGAGTGTTGTTTGTCCTGGCAACCTAGAAGTGTTGGTTGGCAGCTATGACTCAGCATTACAGCATTAGGGGAGGAAAGGATGAGAGTGTGTGTGGAGGGAGGTTTGAGTTGCACCTGCTGCCCATGTGTGCCACTGGGCCATGGCTTTTAGGGCTTTGGATGACTGGTGCTGCCTGACTGCTTGCATGATTTTGTGTTACAGTAAAAAGATCATCTGTAAAATAAAAGAAGAAGAAGAGCTAGTTTGGAGAAAAATTATGAGAAAAATGATGGTAGCCGGGCAGCACGGTGGCGCAACTGGTAGAGCTGCTGCCTCTCAGCGAGCAGGTCCTTGGTTCAAACCCCGGTCCAGGGCCTTTCTGGGTGGAGTTTGCAAGTTCTCTCCGTGCATGCGTGGGTTTCCTCCGGGTACTCCGGTTTCCTCCCACAGTCCAAAAACATGCATGTTAGGCTGATTGGTAACTCTAAATTGTCCTTAGGTGTGAGTGAGAGAGTGAATGGTTGTTTGTCTCGTTTGTCTCTGTGTGGCCCTGTGATGGACCTGCGACCCATCCAGGGTGTACCCCGCCCCTTGCACAGTGATTGCTGGACATGGGCACCAGCGACCCCCGTGACCCAAAATGGAATAAGTGGGTAAAGAAAATGGATGGATGGATGAAATGATGGTAGCCAGACAAAATGGATTTGATTATTGTAGTGATGGTTTTGTTTTCCTTAAAAACAAATAAGTCAAAAGCTGTAGTGAGCAGGAGATGAAAAGGATGTGATGGCTGACCTTGGTAAAGGTCAAAGGCACCTGCTGACACCCTCAGATTGTCACCCAAACAGCCACGGCTCTCACATCAAGCTGAAGGACTGACTGTGAGGAGGCAGTTGCCGTAGCAACTGCTGCCGGTTGCCATGGAAATTGTTATGTGTGAAAGATAAGTCAGTGGGACACAGACTGAGGGGTCTGTCTAAACCACAATGTGCCGTCTCATGACTCGACTGATAGGAAGTCATTTAAAACCTCGTGTTTGTCTGCAGAAGCAAAGCATCACATAAAAAGCTCGGAGAACACTCGTAGCGTTTTCCTCCTGCGGGGATAATGTATTCGCTTGATCACATTTGTGTCTGGGACCTGCAGACTGTGGTTGACGCTGCAGATGTCGAAGGAACAATGCATGTAAAAATGGCACATCATGGCTGCAACACGTTTTGAAAAGCCAACCAAGCTGAGGTATTGAACAGCCTGTTCTCTGAGAAAAGGAGGACTGATGATTCATCATTGATTTTCATACCCTTTTATAGATGAGGGTGATAATTTATTTTCTCAAATTAAAATCAAAGGAATTTCTGCTGGCGTGCAAGTGAAATTTAAACTCCAGCAAATTAATTTACAAGCATACCAACCTTCTCACAATGTAAACTCTGTGACTCACTTCTGTCTGTTCTCCCCTCAGTTCAAGAGGATGTTGAACAGGGAGCTGTCCCATTTGTCAGAGATGAGTCGCTCAGGGAACCAAGTGTCAGAATACATCTCTACTACCTTCCTAGGTAAAGCCAACCTGGCACCCGTTTGTCGTCAAACCTAACAGATCTGAGGTTAAAGTGGTTGACCGTGGCGTCCTGATTGTTTCAGAGAAGCAGAACGAAGTGGAGATTCCATCGCCGACTCTGAGGGAGAGGGAGAAGCCCATGTGTCACATCAGCGGCGTGAAGAAGCTCACGCACAGTTCCAGCCTTTCCAACTCCACCTTGCCTCGATTCGGCGTGAAGACGGAACACGAGGAAGCTTTAGCCAGGGTGACTAAAACTAAAAAGCAGCACATGAGATAAAAGCTGCTGGATATAACCCCAGAACACAGACAAACTTACGGTTTTGTTTTCTTGAAGGATTGTACACCGCCTGCCACATTTCACTAAGATCTACTCGTGTTGAGATAAAAGCTCTGGCTGTTTTTGTTGAACTTATATGTGCAGGTTCATATGATACTGTAAGATGCCACATTCAGTGTACATTTTGTGAATGACTCTCAGCTACTACCACATCAACTTGAAGCTATATTTGTAAAACTTATTGAGTTATACACATTTTTGTATTGACTAATGTGGATTAGCTGCATTGGCCCACTGAAATTGGACTGACTGTAAAAGTTAATCAGTTGTAGATGCACATCCATAAATTACTTTCTGTAAATTCTATTAAAATACATCTCATGAGGTATTTTGCTAACAGACAGACAACGTTGACTCCATATAGTTAATAATTAAATTTCAAACTGAGTTCTTGCACAATCTGTTAGCGCTTTGTTGGGATCAGTCTCAATTACTACAACACCAAATTTTAGGTCAGTAGCTGTAAAAATGGCTGTGTTGTAGTCATTTTAATGTTTAGTCTATTTGCTGTGGTATGGATTGAATAGACTAAACATTATTCAGTTTTAGATGTACAACCAATGTTTTTATTTGTACATCTAAATCTGATTAACTTTCTTTTCTTAAGATTTTTAACAAACTCCTGTCAGACATTCTCCGGTGTGATGTCACCTACTGTAACATACAATGTGTTCAATAAACACTTTTTGAATCATTTATGATATTAAATTAAATATTAAATCTCTATAATCATGTTTCCTGTAAATGTTAAACCTGTTTGTTGCTCCTTCAGGAGCTGAACGACTTGAACAAGTGGGGCCTTAATATTTTTCATGTGGCAGAGTTCTCTAACAATCGGCCCCTCAGCTGCATCATGTTCGCCATCTTCCAGGTGAGACAAAACGACAGAAACTTTGCTTAAACATTCAAGTTGGCTGAAGAATTTAAGTGACAGTCATAAAAATTGATTGACGGACTTTTTCACATTGCACCAATCTTGTCTAAACGTTATTTTTTTGTTACATGTTGAGTTGCATCCCTCTTTGGATGCTTCATTAGATTTAGGGGCATCTATAATTTGTTTAGTTTAGACAAAGAAAATCATTTGTGGCATAAACAAAATCTTCTCACAGTGTCTGCTGTATGGTCAAATTTAATTTTTCTGGCTGACTGGAGGATGAATTTACCTGATTGGCAAAATGTGTAAAAATATTTTGCAGAAAATTGATAAATTTACATTTAAAATTCATTTCTTAATTTGCTGCTATGGAAGTTTCTCAAGTTGCATCTTCATGCATGAACAATAAGGTTGCATTTTAAGTATTCTCATATTTAATCTAAAGTCTGGGCTGAACTGTAAACCCAACCCCCATGAATATTTCCCCTCTGCAGGAAAGAGATCTGCTAAAGACCTTTAGGATCCCTGTGGATACTTTTGTCACCTATGTGATGACCCTGGAGGACCACTATCACGCCAACGTCGCCTACCACAACAGTCTTCATGCTGCTGATGTCACCCAGTCCACCCATGTCCTGCTGTCCACACCAGCTCTAGATGCAAGTATCCTTATTAGTTTAATAAAACAAAAGCTTGCAACTGCCCATCACAAAGCTAAATGCTTTTACAAATGACTTTTCTTTCACTTCTCTCTGACAGGCTGTATTCACTGATCTGGAGATATTAGCAGCATTGTTTGCTGCTGCCATTCATGATGTAGACCATCCAGGAGTGTCCAACCAATTCCTCATAAATACCAGTGAGTCAAATGAAATAAAATCAAAAAATGTAATATTTTTTGATTATAGTTTAAAAAAAAATCACTTTAAAAGACAAGCAGCCTTGATGGAATGCATATCTTATAATCTGCTACATTTATTTTAAAACCATCTTCTGAGGATACCAAGTTATATTTGTTTTGATCAAACCTTGTAAATGACATTATGAACAAGCTTATGCCGTGTTGTGACAGCCTACAAGTAGTGTTAGTGCTCAAAGCATGTGGTGAGGATGATTCCCAGTTACCGTATTTTCCAGCATATAAGTCGCATCAAACACCAAAAGCATCATGAAAAGGAAAAAAAACATATATAAGTCGCTTCTGAGTATAAGTCGCGTTTATTATGCGACACTGCTGACCCCTGGGAAACGTGGACCGGTGTTGTGCCAAAAATCGATTGGCGGCCACGGGAGAGCTCACGAGAGGACTCGCTGTTGCAGTTCTTTGAAATTGAACAAGATTAACACTTTAAAACAATTGTTTGTTTGCTCAACATTATAGCAAATGTTTGTCTCAGTTTAACTTTTCCTTAATAAATGCACTTTAATGGTCAATTTATGGTGGTGGTGGAGGTGGAGGTAGCAGTACAAGAACAACATATATGCCTACCAGTAGTTGTCAAAAGCCGAGAAGGCTCTCTTGTGCCTCTTGCAGCTGCAAATGGTAGTGTTTACTCATGTTAGTATGAATGAACATTTAAAATACATGTGTCAAACTCAAGGCCCGGGGGCCAAATGTGGCCCTAGTTGACATCTTATCTGGCCCCCAAGATGATATGTTAAACGTAAAATACTTTTTTCACTTTAATTTTTTCAGTAACCTTTGATTATGATGTCAAAAGTGCAACAGAGAACATCAAATGAGACCAATTCTAACTCTGTTTTGAGGAACCTGCAACCAAGAAAAGATGTTGGGTATCTAACTTGAGTTAATGTAGATTCTAAAACTGGCTCTTAGTTTGAAAAAGGTTTTAATTTTGGCCCCCATTTGTAAATGAGTTTGACACCCCTGATTTAAAGCATCAGTCAAAAATTGTCTTATGAATATGTAAAATATATATATATATATTTTTTTTTTTTCATTTCATTTACCCTTTACAGGTAGTCTCATTGAGCCACGAGAACTCATTTTCAAGAGAGACCTGTTTAGGGAGCAGATGGGGGTTAAGGGCCTTGCTCAAGGGCCCAGAGTGTGGCGAATGAGGGTGGGGGCAGGTGTGGGTGCTTCACCGACCCTACCCACATTGTTGATGTTGTCGGTACCAGGGCTTGAACCGACGATCTTCCGATCACAGGCCCACCTTCTCTAACCTCTGCACCACCACTCCCCATATAAATAGCTTTGGCGTATAAGTTGCAGGACTGGCAAATCTATGCAAAAAACTGCAACTTATACACCAGAAAATACGGTACTACTGTGCTAAATTTATCTCAAAACCAGTAAAACTGGCCGACTTATTGTCATTTTTGCGTTGGTTAAAGTTGATTACTCGTGTCGGCCACCTTGAAGAGGGTTGACTCCAAATGTAAACAAGCTTTAGATGTGCAACAAACTATTTGTTTTCTGGGAGTTTCACTAAAATATTTCCAGTGATTTACGAGATATTTTGCTAACACAGAGTCACAGTTGATTCCAATAGTTGCTGGTAACGTTTTATCAGTTAGTGCTCAGAGTATGTGTTGGAAATTAATCTTAGCTACAGCCACACCAAAGTTTAGGTCAGTATCTGTGAACTTGACAGTGTTTGATAAGGTCATTTAGCAGTATCGCCATCTTGAATGGGTTGACCCCACAAGTTAATCAGATATTGATATTCAAACAATGATTACTTTCTAAAGTTTGCATTCAAATCCTTCCATCGCTATTTTGCTTTCAGCAGCAGCTGATAAGAAAAAAAATACAAATACATGCAAAAACAACTGACGTGATGAGGTGTATAATGAGATTTATTTAACAATAAGACGTGACCATCTGTACTGTTGTGATTTTAGGTATTTTGTCATAAGTTATTCTGTTAGCTTGTAACACATCTGTACACTGACATCAGTGTGAGCAGTGGTGAGAGTTTATATAAAATAACAGAAGAACTGATTTTTGTTGCCTCAGACTCCGAGTTAGCCCTGATGTATAACGATGAGTCTGTGTTGGAGAACCATCACCTGGCTGTGGGCTTCAAGCTGCTTCACGAGGAGAACTGTGACATCTTCCAGAACCTCAGCAAGCGGCAGAAACAGAGCCTAAGGAAACTCGTCATTGACATGGTGGGTGTTTGATATCATTCATTTTGAATCATAAAGATAATCGTCCTCACTCGTCTTCAACTGTCCTTTCTTTACTTCTCACTTTTTCCTTGCTTACACTGAAAACACTTTTGTTCACCAGGTTCTGGCTACAGATATGTCCAAACACATGAGTTTGTTGGCTGACCTCAAAACTATGGTGGAAACCAAGAAAGTCACGAGTTCTGGAGTGCTGATGCTCGACCATTACACCGATCGAATACAGGTACATTTATAGTGTTTCGTAACAACTACTACTTTCATGACTTAAGCAGTGAATTAACACAGTGTTAAAACATTAAAATGTGGTCAAAGCTTGCTGGTATGTAAAGTTTGGTTTAGTGGAGTCGGAGTAAAGACATGTAGGAATTACAGGCCTTGAAGGAATGCATGTCGCCTTCCACCTTTTGTGCCAGAGTTTAAACTAACTTCATCTTCTGATGAAAAATGTCGCAGTTTTGATCAATTTTAAAATAACGTTATATGCTTCACATTCAGCGTGTCTACATTAAGCCTGTCGCGATAAACAAAAAAATCAATTAATCACATCATAAATGAAAATTATCGACCTCATTTTCATTTATCGGCTTTATTGTTTCTTCGTGTCTCTCTCTTTCTACTGAAGACACTGGATGACAAAAGGCTCAACTCCGGTGTTCTTCACTGATCCCTCTATTTCTCATTTTTCTCTTTTCTTTACAATTCATTTAACCGTCCAAAATCACTGGATCGTTAGAAACAGCTAAACTGAGAAGCTAAGCTACGAGCTAAGCTAACAGGCCGGCCTGACTTCAGGAATAAAAACTCCGTCTTTTTGAAGCTCTGAAATTCACAGTTGAAACCCGTTCATTCGTCTAAAAAGTTGTTTTTCTCTGCAAAAAGAAGCTGAGAACTTGTTTACAGTTTTTTTTATTAAAAGCTTTGTGTGACAAATGCTATGCTAAAGAGCTCAAACCATAGCATATGTCTGCCATTTTGAGAACCAAAAAACAGGAAGGAGAGACAGCCCATGTCACGTCAAGGGGCCTCCATCCCATTTTTCTTAAAGAGACACGCTGCTCGCTCCCTCACTATCCATTCTTCGATTCAAACAGTCTTATACTGCCATCCAGTGGTCAAAACATGTACTACACACAAAACAAATTACCAACATTTCTTTTTACATTTGACAATAATTACTAATTATTGTCAAATTTCAAACAATGTTATCATTTATCGCAATAATTTCTGAGACAATTAATCGCCCAGCAAAATCTGTTATCATGACAGGTGTAGTCCACACCCATCTTTTGGTTCGTTAAATAGCTGTAAAACTGACAGAGTTATAGCAATTTTAGTGGGTTTTTTTTTTTTTGCTAAGGTTGAGTAGCTGTGGTGGCCATATTGAATCAAATTGACTTTAAGCGTTAATCAGTTATGAATGTCCATGCAACAATGACGTTCTGAGAGTTTCATCAAAATCCATTCAGTGACTATGAGCTATTTTGGTAACAGGCAGACACCCACACAAACATGGGCAAAAACACAATCAGCCACCTTCTCCTTTTGGCAGCAGTAGACAAATAAAGTAAAGAGAAGGTGTTGGAATTTTAGCATCTGAGTAAAAAAAGTCTTGGATGAGCAGGTAAATGGGTTTTGGCATATAAACAGAAGCAAAGAATATATGAAGTGAACCTCAGAAGAATCAGATCCATAGTTTGCTTTTTTCAAAGCGAATAGTCAGACTAACGTAAGAAAAACAGTGTAATTTTATGTATATCCAAACTAAGAAATCATCACATCACGTATGTTTTTGTGCAGGTGTTGAGAAACATGGTGCACTGTGCCGACCTGAGCAATCCAACCAAACCTCTGCTGGTGTATCGCCAGTGGACGGAGAGGATCATGGAGGAGTTCTTCAGGCAGGGAGACAAGGAGAGGGAGCGAGGGATGGAGATCAGTCCTATGTGTGACAAGCACACTGCGTCTGTGGAAAAAAGTCAGGTAAACGATTAGCAGTGAGACACAGACATGCATATGATATCACACAGCTGGCTCAATGTCAACACTGCAGGCGGTGATCTTTTAGCTCCGAGCGCAGCAGCAAACCTGCTGCATTTTTAATGCTGACACCGAGGTGCTGGCTAAGAACAAGTCAACCATTCTCTCTTTTTTTCTGGATAGGTGGGCTTCATTGACTACATTGTTCACCCTCTTTGGGAGACATGGGGGGACCTCGTGCACCCCGACGCCCAGGAGATCCTCGACACCTTGGAGGACAACAGGGACTGGTACCAGAGCACCATACCACAAAGCCCATCCCCACCTCCTGTGTGCCAGGACAAGGAGCTAAATGCGTGCAGGGACAAGTTTCAGTTCGAGCTCACCCTGGAAGACAGCTCTCAGACAGAACAGGTGCACGAGGAGGACAAAAACACAACGAACCACGTGGCGCAGGACTGCAGTCACATGGAGGACAAAAGTGAGGACAAGGAGGACATAATGGCAGAAGAGAACGAGGACATAATAGAAGAAGAAGATGAGGTGCCAATGGAGGAGGAGGAATTAGAAGAAGAGCAGAAAACTCAGATGGGCAAGGGGCCTGAGAAGGAAATACTTTTTGACACAAGTCCTGTAGAAGAAGAGGAAGATTCTTCTTCTCAAGCTGAAGATACATGAGTTCTGCTCTTGTATCGACATAGCTCTGAAACTTGCACACATTCTCTTGTTTATTCTTTCAATGGCCAAACCAAGAACAAATAGAACTGCAACGACAATACAGACCTTTAAATATATTTTTCACAAAGGGAATAAACTAAAACCTGCTTAAAGAGAAGCTAATTACACAGCAACTGTAGATTTGGAGTGGTGAGTCCTTCGACTGATGTCACAGTGGACTAACAGGAATTTAGGAGAGCGTTATTGCTGGGGGAATGATGAGCGCGTAGCACTCTGGAGACTTGAATGCACATAGATAAACACACACGAAATCACACACTAAAACACAAGCAAGAAGGAAGTCATGTGGAAAACACCAATGCAATGCGACGTGCATGCAGCTGTCATGCAGTTTATATCCTGTTTATTTTTGGAGATGCACACACACAAATATTTGCACAGATACACACACATTCCCACACACACTTGACAGTATGTTTGTATGTGTGCATTTAAACAAAGGACATTGATAAGTAGTGAATATCTTTGGGAAAAAGCCATCCCTTATCGGTGTGTTTAGTGTTCAGTCAGTATTAGTAAGTCATGTATGTTAGAAACTCAAAAGACGCTGCTCTCCCCGAAGAAGCTCCAGTGACATTTTTTTTTTCCATTTCTGTCGGAAATAAGAATAAGAAAATCCACAGAGTTTGGAGGAGAAACTGCTGAAGCGATGAGGAGAACGATGCTGCGATGAAAGGGGCCTACAGGTCCCGTATCCTTTTTTTCCCTTTACAAGGAGAGTGCTACTGGTGCGAGATGGCTCTGTGCCTTTCTGAAACACCAGCTTCCTGAACGGAGCTGTCGTAAAGCAATGCATTGTGGGACAGGACGGTCTGATTTTGTTCTCGTTAATCTTTCTCCACCGTTCATGGTCTTGTGGTGCGTAGCACTGTTTTCTTTGGTTACGTTTTTCGGCTGTAAGTCTTCCTTTGTTGCTCTTCTGGTAAAATTATGACTCAGAACTCTAGATGCAGAGCAATCACTAACACCGCCACAACCACCAGTGGTCTCTTTTAGTTTTATTTTCTTAGACTGATTAAAAAAAAAAAACAACAACACTTTTATTCAGAGAATAAGCCATGTGATGCTTTGAAGCATACTTTCTTTGCCTATTTTATATTTAAAAAGTCGCTGAATCTGTTGGCGAGACACAGATTTATGTCATCAGCAGAACAAATGTTCAGTTGTCTCACACTTAGTCACTGTTTGTGTTTTTATATCCTCATACGTGACAATTCTCACCAAAGTTAAGGATGAGAAACTTCAGTGGTTTGGAGGAAAATGTTTGATTTTAAGGAAATCAGGGAGGCAGAATGTCAGGGAGAAAAGTCTATAACTAAGCCAAATGGAGGTCTGGTGGTCCCTAATCATCCTTGTTATGTTTGATGGTTTTTTTGCCTTAATGTCAGATGCAGGATACATACCTACCAGTATGTAGATTTATAAAATATATTAAAGATATCCTAGTCTGTTTATATTCTGTCTGTATGCTAATTTATGTATCGTTGTGTCTAGAGATGTTGTGTTTTGCAGTTGGAGGGAAAAGGGTAAAAGAGTTATTTTTGTCATTGCTGTGCTCAGACCAACATAAAGAATGTGTTGTTTTTTTAATTAAGATCCTAAATCTATCTGAGCGCAATTAAAGAAAAGGAATTAAAACCGATCACAGTTAAGCAACGCTCAGAGACGGCAGGATGTTGAAGATGTTGGTGTTATTGGTCGCTCATCAGCATCGTGTTGTGGAGCGTTTAGGATTCGATCGGTGCAGATTAAATGGGCCCGTTTGTTTAAGGTGTTTGTTTTCCACAGGGTAAAAAATAAGGAATATAAATGTGGTTCTTTAAACGGTAAGGGCACGTTTCTGCAGGTCAGTAACTGAGCTTATCTGAAGATACCACAGCTTGGTGCGATAGAGGCCTGCGTGTGAGCTGCGAAGCCGCCACCAAGGCTTTCCATCTCATTAAAAAATGGGAATCCAGAATTTCTATTCCATTTAAAAGGTTCCCATTATGCACTGGCCTTTTTACTTTAAACGTGTTCCATTGTTTTTGTGGCTCCTTGTTCCGTCATAAGCTATAAAAACATTAATATTTAATTGCCATACAAACACAACACTGTAGCAATTGTTTCTTAATAAGGAAATTATTCAATTAAGTGATTGCTGCCATTCTTTTTAATCAATGAAAAGAAAATAACGGGAAGCGTTTTCTTTGACCAGTTTGTGTACAGTTTATTTTTATACCATGCTGGTGGATGGTCGGGAAAATGAATCACGTGTTGATGATTAAGCTATAAGCATTGTCGCTCCTGTATATAATGTAATAATGTAAATAAAACTTTTATCCCAGTCAGAATGATTGACAAATAGCCACCTGACATGACCCACTGAGGCACAACGAGCCACAGGGTCACCTTTTTCATTTAACTATACAGCTCTTCACTTGTAGTAACATTTCTGTTATGACTTCTAATTGTGCACACTTATTGTTGAAATTATTACCAGCACTTTATTTACATCAGGTTTCTAGGCCAACGGTGTGTTTCAGGTATTGTTCAGTCTTTGCTGGTCTGGTCACTGGGCAACAATTAGGTAATTCCCTCTGTTAGTCATAATTAAATGAACTATAGCCTTCCTCTATAAACATTCATGTGAGACTAAGTTTGTTTGATTAATAACGCCAAAACAAAGCTGGTGTAATCCCATAAATTAAAAATAGACATGCCCTTTTTTAACTTGGCCATCTCCAGCGCCATCCCCACCTCTCTTTCTTAGTAAGTTTAAGCCTGATAGCCTAAATGTTTGTCCCATGGTGGCCTACTTAGCCAGTTCCCATTGGTGTTTCTGTCAGGTTAATGTAATTGCAGACGGACTTTATTAAAAAGAAAAAGAAAAATCTCTGGGCTGTAACTCATTGATTTGTTCATCAGTAAGAGAGATCCTTCAAGAGAAGGGTGACTAAAACGTGAAATGATTGTAATATTTGTAAATGATCTTGCTGTAACGTGTAAGATGTGTCCAAGTTATTTTTTATTATATTATTTTTATGAAACTTTTTTCTTCTTGACAAAGCTGAGGTGTCATTTTGTGAATAAATGCATTTAATAAGCAAAATATATATATAAAACAATCCTATAGTATATCAGTATATTTTTCTTTTATTTCACTGTTCAGTACTGTAAAGTGTGTTAAAATACAAATAAAGCAATTTTTTTTATATATTAAAAGAAACACTATGGTTTCCTGCACACTCTTTATTTGCAACAAATATGATGTCAAATTATTTGTCACCATATTGTGCTAAAAATACTAGTTTCATATATAAAATATATATCTGAATGTAGGTGAGAAGACCTTAATTTGTAATTAGTATTCTGGCATGTACTTGGTTTAATATTACAGACTGATTAAAATTGCCTAAGGTAAAATTTATACAATTTAATTTTAAAAATATTCCCATGTAGCACAGTGCAAACGTTTCAAACCACCCCTCATTTCTTTATCCTTTCTTCCAAAAAGCCAGACTTTCATGTATTTTTAAAAGTGCATGGACAATATGATCATTATTTAAAAACTTTTAGTTGAACTTGGGCTTTTTTTACATCCCCTATACATTGGAGGAGCAGCTGTGGAGGTGGTCTCCTGCTACAGGTACCTGGGGGTGCATATATCAATCAACCTTTATTTATACAGGTAATTCCCATTGAGCCTCGAGGACTCATTTACAAGAGAGACCTGATATAGGCAGTGACCTCATCTGAGAGCCAACATTTCCTACCTGGTCAAGAAGGCCCACCAGCGTCTCTACTTCCTTAGGAAGCTGCGGAGAGCTGGACTTGGGAACTCTGTCCTGAGGAGCTTCTATGGCTGTGTGGTGGAGAGCATTCTCTGCACCTGCATGACCGTGTGGCACGGCAGCTGCACTGCTGCTGAGAGGATGGCTCTGCGGAGGGTGGTTAAGGCTGCACAGAAGACTGTGGTGAGCAGCCTTCCCACCACCTCAAACCTCTGCACTTCACAATGCAGGGGGGAGGGCGCTCCGCATCATGAAGGACTCCACTCATCCTGCACACAGTGTGTTCCAGCCCCTCCCCTCAAGCAGGCAGCTGAGGAGCATTCAGAGCAGACCAGGCTCAGAAACAGTTTCTCCCTGCACCTGTCAGACTGCTGAACTCTATTCAGCTTCATCTTACTTTTTAAAAAAAAACTTTATTATGTATATAATATGTGTGTGTATACTCTTTTGTATATGAATCCTTGACATTATTTTTTCGTCCAGGATTTGACGACGAAAAGACAAAAAGGAAAAAGCGGGTGAAGATAATGGATGGATGAAAAAAAGCAGCCAAAATGTAAAAAAAAAAAAGACAATTAAAAACACTCACAAGGCCCCCAAATTGCTTAAACATCTTTTAAAAATTCAAATAAATCTTTGGAAGCCAATTACAACAATATGAGGGCAGATTCAAAATATTTGTATACATAAATAAATGGGTAAACAAAGGTAGGGTGCCTTTTTCCTGTTTACTTGCGTGAGATGGCTGCAATCTTTAGCACAAACTTCTGTAAAGGCTCCCCTTGCTCTCCACCAATCACAACAAAGATAAAACGCGTCGTCCAATCAATGAAAAAAACGTCACCAAGAAGGGCGGGGCAATACGCATGCGCTTTTCAGATACGGAACTAGGTAATGTTATCCGCCTGGTAGCTCTTAGCTTTCCACGAAGAAAGGAGAAAAAAGCTAAAATAAGTTATTTTCTCTTTTAGTTTTTGCGGTTTTGGTAAGCTTGATTTATGTGTGTTTGTCATATAAATAGAGGCACAGGTGGTATTAACTAAATAAATATATTGTTTGCCGTGCTCGCTCAAGCGTTAGCTTCAACTGCTAGTGTTTAAATGAGCTAATGAGCTAGCTGTTGTTCTCGGGTAATGTGTGTTGTTCTCTTTATTGACCTGCACATTTTAAATGTTTTGCAGGTGATCTCGGTGCTGCTCCACTGTATTGTGTGATTATAAAGTGTACACCATGAACTGCCAGTGTTTGCTGCTGCTTCTTGTGTGTGGAGGAGTCTCATCTGTGGAGGTTCAACGTCCTCGCGGGGTCCCATTATCAAGTAAGCGTTTCTAATCCGAGTTCTGACTAAAGCACGTCCACCACAGCTTATATTTTAACTTCACTCCAAGCCAAACTATTATTTAAAACAATGGATTTTGGAGAGTGGAATCATTGACACGACTTCCGTCTTAATTGTATAAAAACAGAAAGGCCGCTGTATGAAGAGAACAAACCCTTCACTTGTTTGGATGGATCCCGCACCATTCCCTTTGACAGAGTAAATGATGACTACTGTGATTGTCAGGATGGGTCTGATGAGCCAGGTCTGTATGTCTTCACTGATGATGATTCCAGTCATTCTATCCTTTCAATATATTTAACCAATATAAATAGCTAACAACAATATTTTCCTTTTTGACTGATTGAAAACCCTTTATATTTCAGGTACCGCTGCTTGTCCCCATGGCAACTTCCACTGTACCAATGCAGGTTTCCGACCAACATTCATCCCCTCGTCCCGCGTCAATGATGGAATTTGTGGTATGAACTTGAATCAGTTTAGATTGCTGTTTTTCAGGCATGTTTTAGAATTTGCACTTTAACATCTGTATTTTCTCTTCAGACTGCTGCGATGCTACAGATGAGTACAACAGTGGTGCTGACTGTCAGAATACCTGCAGGTGGAAAATTTCTCAACTTTTAAGATCTTCTGTTTGCATTTACGATTGCCACACAGAATTGCATCATGTTGAATTTTAAAAAGTTAAACATTTTGGTTGTGCTTTTGTATATTTTTTTGTTTTGTAGGGAATTGTGGCGTAAAGAAAAAGAGAGCATGGAGAAGTTGGCAGAAATAGCAAAGGAGGGCTTTTTGCTCAAACAACAACTTATCCAGGAGGCTAAAAGAGGTCTAGAGGATAAGAAGGTATGAACACGACTAACTTTTGTTGTAGTGTGTGCTCTGAAGCGATTATTTATTCATTAGATTTTTATATGAAGATGTTTGAATACTACCATATACATTTAACGCGTTTGTGCACACAGATGGCAGAATACAGTCTTGAAATGTTGTTTTTTGAATAACAGAGGATGGAAATGGTGCCACATTGTTCTCTTATGTAAATTATTCTAAGCACCTCTTTGTTAGCTATTGTTTTGGCTTCATCCAGAACCATATACTTTTTCTTTTTTTTGTATGAAAACGTTGCATAGCATTTAGTTGACAGTTTTGGTTTAAAAAAATATTTGGTTCAACAGGGCACACTGTCAGAAGTCCAAAACAGTAAAAAGGATCTGGAAACGAAAGTGGAGGCTCTGAGAACTGTTAAAGAAACTGCAGAGCAACCAGAGAAAGTAGCTAAAGAGCGCCACCTGAAGGCCTGGGAAGGTAAAAGTTTGACGACAATATTACAGCACCTACTGTGAATATGGGGTACTACACCACAGTGAAGTGTGAATTTCCTGCTTTTTGATAATGTTCTGTGGTCAACTGATGGAATAGTTGTACATCCCAAATGCCAAAAATTAACATTATTAGAAATTATAATATATAAGACATTTCAAAGTATATTTTCTAAATATATTTAACTTATTAATTTTTTTGTTTCAGAACAAAAAGCTGTCATTCGCACGGAGAAAGACAAGGCTAGAATGGCTGAAGTGTTTCTTGAGCTGGATCGTAACGGAGATGGCTTGTGAGTATTGTTAATCTTCACCAATAGAAGCTTTTTTATGGAAGGAAAATTTATAATTTGATGAACCAGTGACTGCTACAGGATCTGTTTTAAAATCTTCATAAAATAAAAAAAAATGCAGGTTTTATAGAAATTTTAAATAGTCTTTTTTTAGGAGCAACACATTTATGTGAATAATTATCACTATTTAATTTGAACAAAATGGTGGAGCTTTGTTTAGCTGTTTTTTAATCACTGTTTTAGCTTTAACTCAATGTTCATGCATCTGGCTTTATTTACTGGCCGGTTGTGAAAACGGCTTTCTCTGCTGTTACTAAATGTAAAATGGAGTGTTTGTGTGTCACAGTGTCTCAGTGGTCGAACTTCTGTCTCATTCTGAGCTTGACAAAGATTCTGATGGTGTATTCACCGAAGCAGAGGCTCAGGTATATAGTTTTTTTTCCTGATAGCTTTCATTAAAGTATGAATTTTAATTGTAATGTTTTCAAAAGCTACAGCAGAGTCTGAGGATCTAAACCTAACTGAACGTACATCTATTTTCTTTGGTTTGTGTAGGAACTGTTGGGAGGAGTGGACAAAATTGACCCCGCAGCATTTGAGAATGTTTGGAGTAATATCAAAGACAAATATTTGTCCGAGGTACAAATCTGAAGTTGTTTTTGTTAAATTTATAGAAAACAAAACTCGTTTTTCTAAATTTTGTGACGATTTGCAGCAGTCAACCACAGATGCCTCAGTCCCCGTAGAACCCCCACAGGAGGAAATAAAAGATCCAGTCTCTGACAATGATTCTGAAACGTACCCTGATGATGACAACCCAGAGGAAGAAGAGGATGAGGAAGATGAGGAGGAGGATGATGAGATGGATGATGGGGATTATAAAGTAAGCTTTCTATGTGTCTACATACAATTTAAGTTGTTTGTGTTTATTTTAGTAACTCAGATCTGCGTTTTGCTTTCAGACTCCTCCTCCAACACAAACTCAAGACAAAAAGGACGATGAAGAGGGAGCTATGCCGCCCTATGATGAAGAAACACAGAATCTTATTGATGGTGTGTGTTTACAGCTCGTCCTGATAAGCTGAGACACAAATAACAGTCATGAAAATTACAGCATTTAGTTTAGCATTCAAATGGAACTTATTTTGTGCCACAATTAACTGATGTGGAAACTAATGATTTATGTAGCCAGTTTGTTGCTCTTATCACAAAACTTGTAGTAAAAATGTCTTAATTTTGATAAAAGTTGGTTAAGTTCACCTTCTCATTTTCAGCTGCACAGAAAGCCAGAGATGAGTTTGATGAGGCTGAGAAAGCTCTAAGGGAGGTGGACGATAACATCAGGTACATTTCAGACTGTGATGCTTCAGCTGTAGTTGATCATTTTGGTACTCGATCAGCACGTTATTAGTTAAAAATTGTGATATGTAAATTTGAGTTGGGGCTTTTCCTTAGGAACCTCGAGAAGGAAATCTCTTTCGACTTTGGACCAAATGGCGAGTTTGCCTACCTCTACAGCCAATGTTATGAGCTGACCACTGGCGAGTATGTACATCGCTTGACTGGAAAATGTTTTGTATAGAAGTTTAAACTGAACGACTGAGTTATTTGTTTTCTCACAGGTATGTCTATAGACTCTGTCCATTCAACAGAGTATCCCAGAAACCCAAGTATGGTGGATCGGAAACTAATTTAGGGTAAGAGTAAATCAAAGTGTTGCCTTTTTTTTGTTTGTTTTGATTTTAAAACAGTTGATTCATGGTGTATTTTTCACCATTTTGCTTGACTAGTTCTTGGGGGAAATGGGCAGGTCCTGAGGATAACATCTACTCTGTGATGAAGTATGAGCATGGGACAGGATGTTGGCAGGGCCCCAACAGGTCCACCACTGTGAGTCTCAGCCAACAGTTAAGGCATCTTTATTAAAGGACAACACATCATAAATACATGTTTGTGTCATGTCTCAGGTCAAGTTAACATGTGGGACAGAAACGGTTGTGACATCTACGTCAGAGCCCAGCCGCTGCGAGTACCTCATGGAGTTCATCAGCCCTGCTGTCTGCCAGGAGCCCCCTCCAGTGATCCCTGATTCTGATCATGATGAGCTGTAGACACTCGTGATCTGTGAGTAAAATAACTTCTCCTTGTTTTTTTGTTTGTTTTTTTTACGAGAAAGCTTCGTGCCATTTTCTCACTATTTTCTATGGTTTTCCCTTTAAAATTTTATATTGGGCCAGTTGTTTTAATTAGTCGTGTTTTGAGCATCAATACATGAAACTTGGGCTTATTTCATTACCATTTTTTTTTGGTGCAAGCAGGAGCAAATAAAAAATCTGCAATTGTCAAAACGTTTCAGCACTTTGTTTTAGAGAATATCTTGTGTGCAGTTAAAGATGCATGTTAGAGCAGCAGAAAACTAATGGTGTGGCAACATAACCAAAGTTTATTTTGATTGTTTAGAGTATTACTAATTAACTACTGATATCCATCTTATATTGTGAGCATTTTGTCTTTTTACACTTTGTAAGTTTGCTAATGATGCCTTTGGTGTAAACATGGTAAAGTAGAATAATTGGATTCTACAATGTTCTTGCAGTGTTAGTAATTGTGAATAAATACTTGTACTTTGGCCCGTGATAAGATCTAATTTTCTATTTTAAACTTGCCTCTTAGGCAGATTTAAGGTACAATAGTCCCTCACTGCTTTGCAGTTTGTTTATCGCGGACTTGCTCTATTGCGGTTTTTCAAAATAAGAGTGGACATGACACACAATTGGCTGATTGATTGACGATCGGCATGGAATTTTATTTTTTTACATTATTTAGCATCTCCTGCACCTTTGTGCAGCCCATACTGCAGGATAAGCTTCCTGCTGCAGCTGATCAGCTGTTCGCTGTGTAGAGCAGAGAAGTGGGCGTGGCCAAGAGTGCTTGCAGCTGACAAAGAGCAGCGAGGCAGGGAGCTGAAATCATGACATTCTGTGCTCTTTTAGAGCGTTTGGAGTTTAGAAACATTGTTTAGAATATTGCAAGAGTGTGGGAAGGGTTTAAAATGCCTTAATGTATATGTATATATAAATACTAAAATAAACTACTACTTGTACTACTTTTCCTACGTTGCGGTTTTTCACTTATCGCGGGACTTCAGGGTACGGATCCCCCGCGATAAACAAGGGACTACTGTACTTAAAAGCCATAGAAAAATATTCAAAAATAAAAAATGAATTGCCTTAGTTAATTTTTAAATGAATTAGTTTGATTCTGTTAAATCTTGTATTATTGATGGATAATAGTGTAGACTAGATATAAGGGTGAGTTAAACTTTCTGATGATGCTAGCATGAGTGTTGCTTTAGTCAAATGTGCAGAGAAGAGACAACACTGATGAGATTCTATAATTTAACCATAATCCAAAATGAACACAGCAATAAAGGTGTGCTTGTAATGGTCAGTTTTACCTCGGCTGCTCTGCCGTTCGTTAACAAAAAGCATGACTTGACAAGTTGAAATGAACACATGTATGCTTTAATTCGCAGGTTGCTCTTAAGGGACCAGACTTTGCAGCAACATGAAGTTTCCGCTCGACAAGCTGCATCACCTCTGCGTTTTATCGTTTCTGTGTGAACTTTATGGAAATTCCAACGAGTAGGCAATCACAATGATCGACACTTCTATCTTTCACTCCTGCTCGGTTTATTTTAATGCACAATGTAGTCATTCCATTGTTTTCAAATAAAGTTTTGCTCATTGAACTTTTAATTGGTGTCCAGTTTTAATCAGCCACTTAGGTCTAATGAATCTTTGTTCTTTTATTTCATTTATACCTGCTTATAAAAAGAATATAATATCGGTCAAATGTTTGGAAACTAGTAAATGTTGGTGCATCTTGTTTCCTTTCATGGCTTAAAAGCATAAAAAAGTAAACAGTTCCTCTTTTAAATTAAAGACACGTGAGTCAACTCCCTTTTTTTTTCTTTTTTCTACGTTCATTGAACAGGTCAACAACAGTTGCTGATAGTAAACAACACGAGTCATTTGTATTTGTAACTTTCATTTTATTTTTTATTTTTTTTTCTGGCATGTAAAGTACAAATAATTAAACGATTCCATGAAAAAGTCTTCAAGCGTCTTCAGCTGAAATCCCAGTAATAAATATCCTAGTCTAAACTGAAAGGTTTTATTTATTTATTTTTTTTGTTCTTTGCTTAAATTTGTTCGTTTGGTCGTGTTTGGAAGTGTGAGATTTTGTCGTTTTCGCTCTGCCGACGTTGGCGCCGGCAGAACCGTTTTGATCGTTTTCACCTTCGATTTGTTCTACCATTCCAGGAAAATGTAAGAAAAAACATCACTAAGTTACTGCGTCCCCTCTTCTAAATAAATAGACACAAAATACAGTTGATAAACAGAAGGACCACTCACCCCTTCACTACTCTAGACTCCCAAGAAAACCTTCCTGCAGCTTTTTGGAGCTCTGGAATAATTTTTATTTATTTTTCCAGAGCTCTAAGCTGAGTTTTTTTTTTAATGCACAGAGAACAGCTTTGATTTTAAAGCACAAATTGATTCAAGTGGTCTCACAATTCAAAGCAGTGATATAGTTTCGTTTTGTAAACTGAACCTATTAGAACAGGAAAGCATCTTGTGAGTAAATCAAACAGTTCTCGACAGTTGCCGGACCCTGAAAAGGCCCTGAAGCCTTGCTAAAGGGGCCGCTCCACGTCTCCGGGGTTTACAGAGTGGTTGGAAAAACAAGACTGTGATTAGATTAAATAATTAAAAGATCTTCATTTAACAAGACAAACAGAACACAGGCAGTAAAGGCATAACATCTAGCACACAGCATGTATGTTTATACACTTCAATTAGTTAAATATAGCAGTGCATTCTTTGACTATGGAGAACGTTTCCAAATCGTACTTCTAAAGCTGTTTTTTTTTCTATTTGTCCCCCTTTTTAAGAAACAAAACAAAAAAAAATGGTGTTACCACAATTTTGGCAAACTTAAAAGTCTTTTAAAACTTGCAAATATAAGGAAATAAACCATAAATATACACAAAACATACTTTACACGAGGCAATAATAATAATAATAATAATAAATAGTTTTTAAGTTAATAAGTTAAAACTACAAGCTTAAAGTCGCCCAAATAATACAAGTTTGTTGGCGCTATTTTGAATTTTTTCTGTTTAAATTATTTCATGTTGCAACAAAAGCTACCACAGACTTTACAAACACAATTGAACACAGTTTTTGATTGAAACAGAAAAAAGAAAACAAAACTCTAACTAAGTCTAAAATCTGCATACACTGTAAAAACTGCAACTAATAAATGGAAGAAAAATAAACGTGTTACCCAATCGATGCAACCGAACATAACCTTTGACCCATGTGTGTTCTCTATGGCAACATCAACACAAATACACTAATTTAACAAGTGAGGCTTGATATGTAAATGAAAGCAATAAATTACAGGAAAATGATATTTGAAACTGACATGGGCTAAAACTGATGTTATATTCGACAGTATTCCTTTCAAATTCATTGATATACCTCTATTAGGTCAGCCAATTCTGCAGTTTGAGCATGGTCAGAGCACAAATTAGGGACTGAGGAAGTGATCATGGAGAATTAAAGATCAGAGCTCTCATTCTTCGATTTCTCAATGAGTCTGTTCATTTGAATGCTTTTGCCTGAACAGTCGCTCCTTTCACGACTCCGCAAACCATTTCAGTGTGACACTTCTTTTTTTTTTCTTCAAAAAATATATATCATTTGTTTGCAGTCAATATAAAAACAAAGCACATTGCACTTTACTGTTCCATAGGAAAGTTTTTTTGTCTTTTTATTTTTAAATGAGTGTTGTTGCTCAAGCAGTGTAGTACTGTTTCCTGCCATAGTCCTTGGCTCTCTGTCGGGTGTGGGTCTTTGTATAGATGAGAGGTTATTTGGAGCTGTGGGTTTGTGGGATGACTTATCAGGCTGGACATGGCTGGATAAACGACTCCAGCTGCAGTTTAGTGGCCTGTTATCTCGGTCATTATTAACGTCTGTCACCGAATGCTCAGTCTGTGCTATCTCTTGCAAATTGCTCGAACAAAATTAGCTAGATTAGACCTTCGTTTGGTCACTATCTGCGGGGGGGTGAAACAGTATGAGTCAGATCGAGATGTCAGTGAAAAGTATTTGCAATGTTTTAAAAGATAAATACAAAGCTGATGATTTAAATGTAAGGGGAAATACATAAGATGCTTTTTTTTTCCTTTGTCAAGAGGTGAACTGATTCATCCTTTCGATATGCCTTTTTGTTGATACTGCATGTCGTGTGTGCAAATGGGATCGTTTGGTATAGTGTTTTTTAAGATTTCGAAATGAAAACTGATGTGCGCAACTCATATGTTCAAAAGTAATCATAACTCAAAGCTCAGAGGGTCCTCGTTCAATAAATAACATCGATTTGTACAGCAATTACTCAGGGAATCCGTTTTTCTCCGTACTGACTTGCGAAGCAACTCTTTGGCAAAAAGTCAAATTGGTCTAATCGTAAGGATTTAAGCTCGGTGTTTATTATGAATCTGCACTGACGTTTTGAACCTGTGATTCTGTTTAATTTGCAAGCAGCTCTTCAACTTCTGAGCTGGACTACGAGCCAGCAGCTTCGTCTGGGATTCAAGTCAAAGAACTTTGCTGTGCTGTCAATGGAGCAACACCGTGCACGGCGTTAAGACTAAAGATGGAGGTGCATCTTGGGCGCTCAAAGACATACAGTCGATGTTTCTGTTAAATCATAATCAAGCAGTCTGTTTTAGAATTTATTTTCTGTCAGATTTCATAGATTCGTTTCGTTCTGACACGGTTAAACTGGTAAGTTTGAGTGTGATGCTTGATTCCTTCGCCCTCTCCCTAAATCCCCACCCAAACACCGCACACTTCTTTTATTCCTCTTGCTCTGCAAAGATAAGAGGGTTTTTTTTTAATAAAGCTGTGCGATGTCCCAATTTTTCCAAGCTTAAGAATCTGTAAAAATTCAGCACAAGGTCTTGTTCCTTTGTATGTATAAAAATAGATCATCTCTAATGTAATCCTTTTCAAAGAGATCGTCCTCTTTGGCTAACGCAGCGTCACTTAGAAAAGCAAAAGCAAAACCGACTTGAATAAAGGTGACCTTATTAAATCTTTTATCAAGTGCCGATATCTTAATATTAAAAGACGAAAGCTCTCCACGTGGTAAAGTCCGGACTGAAACAGACGCTTCCAGGTTGGCCTTTATTGTTCCATGAAAGGTGCCATAAATAATCCTCGTGCTTGGACGGGGATTGGGTTGGGGATATTTAAAACCAGCTATTTTAGTGATTGTGCCAAACAGATCTGAAGCGAATTCATAAATACTTCTTCTGTTGTGAGCAGAAGTAGAGCTATGACACTTATTTGCGAGCTCGATGTTGCGCTGTCGTGTTTTTCTATGTTTCCTGGAAGCTTGTATAAAATCGTAAAATAAACCTCGAGAACGTTCGGCAAAGTGGAAATGAGTGTTTCTGCTCAATGGATCAACTGTTATTATTTATTACAGATGTGCCTCCTAATCGGGTTTAAATGTTCAGTCATTAGGAAGTGTTTTCTAATCTCATGTCAAGTTACCGCAGATGCTATCCAGTGGTGTAGTCTACGTGATACTCAGGTATACGGAGTATACCCACTAGAAAAGCTTAAGAATTCCAGTATACCCACTTAAAAGTGCCCAACGACACACGGCATATCATTAGGCACGCGTCAAACAGCAGTTAAACGCTTCTGTAACAATCTACTGTTATGCAGCGCTCATGTTTTTAATACAAAGCCAACTGTTGTACAAAGTTTGTTCATTTATTCAAATATAAGATAAATTTGGAAATGCTCAATATGCTTAAAAATCAAAAATAAATTGACGATTACATTGTACTACTTTGGTTTCTAAGCACAGTATACCCAGTACAAAAAATGTAGACTACACCACTATGACCTTATTGGTTGAGAGAGCCTCTGTCTGCTTACTAACCTGATGAACGGCGCCGGGGCCTTTATGTTCTTGCTTCTCATCACCTTCAGATCATTTTCAAGCTAAGACTTTTGCAGCTACGAGTAGTAACATTCAACCCTTGTGATCATAAAGAGGTTTTTACATCACATTTGCTTTCTGCCTTGACTTTTTGACACCTTCATTGAAAGGATCTCTCCAGACTGTAGCTGGCCATGCCTGGCAGGATAAAGCGCCTCGTAAAGCATGATAAATACACACAAAAAAAACACCAGTTTCCTCCGTTGTGGCTGCGTTATGATGAAATAGTTTCCCCCTCACACTCATCGCTCTCTTGCCCAGCAGAGAATTACTAATGAACGTCATCGCCGTGGGAGCGCTGCTGCTCTGCTCTTAAGTTCACAGACAGTCTGCTTGTGTGAAATCCATCACGTGGATGAGATTAGAAAAATAATAAATAAAGTACAGCTTTAGAGCACTAAATATGTGTGATTTCTGATTTGAACTGTGTTTCTAACTATGATGTGAGATTGTGAGGCTGAGAGTGATTCTGATGTTCTTTTCTGTAACCAGTATTTTCGCTTGAGCTAAAGTGTGTTGGGTTTGAGCTAACAAGCTCTGATATAGTTGAGAAAATGCCTTTATTTTCTATAGGCACCACCCAATGCAGGTCAGGAAACAGTAGTCAAAGTTTCTAGAAAATGCTTACATACTCGGCTATTATAACCACCTTAAATATTGAATATATAGTATTATTTTAATAGACGTATATAAGAGAACACTGTTTTTTAGTTTTATTTTCTTTGATCTAAAAAAACCACTGATTCAAAATGCCCAAGTGTAAAAAAAGTGACTACAACCCCCTCCAGCAAGATAATTGGAGAGATGGCGGGGGGTACGAGTTTGGGTAAATTGCACATATTTGATTTTTTTGATCATTTCGTTCATCAGTTGTCATTATTTGCCTGAATTCAATCAAAGCACTCCGTACACATTCTCTGTCACATTCGTTAGACTGTCTTCTAAATAGATAGCTCTTGCCCCCACCCCAAAAACCAGCTACGTACCCCTTCTAATTCAATCCAGGCAAATACAAGGAAAGGACTATGTCGTGTAAAGGGAAAAAAGAAACTCCTCTAGTGTGTTCGAAACTCTGACTCGCCTATGCTTGGATATGTTTGTGCAATGCGTGTATGTGTGCCTACATGTCTGCGTTCTGTGGTTTCTTTCTTATGAATTTGTGTGAGATCATGTCAGAGAGAGACTCAGTCCAGGCCCATGTAGAGTGATGACAGAGAGCTCGGTACGTCTCCCTGCAGGTTGAGCGAGCTGGCACTAGCAGCCTCTCTTTCAGGCTTTGTGCTGCTTGCTGGTCTTGAAGGAAACCTGCAGCACGCGATCGCCTAAGCGATAGCCATTTAGGCTAGCGATAGCCATGGCGGCTTCGTCGTAGTTGGTCATCGTGACAAAGCCAAAGCCCTTACATTTGTTGGTGGTGAAGTCACGGATGACTTTGACATTGGTGACAGCGCCAAAAGGCCCAAAGAGCTGCCACAGGACGCTCTCGTCGGCTTCAGGCGACAGGTTGTAGACAAAGATGCACCAGCCGGCTCCAGTGGGACCAGTGAGGTTGACCCCGGCTAGGCTGGTCATGCTGTCAATGGTGATGGGGGAGAATCTGGGGAAGAGAGCAGGAGAACTACCATGGGTGTCATTCTGAAGTTCTACACAACTTTCAGCGTTCTACACTTATGAATAGGTGTCTGTGAGAAATGATGGTGTGTGGAGCCTGGGGAGCCCATCTTCATCCCCTCTGCTGTGTCAGGAGTAGATATAAATGTGTGGGCACCACAGTGGCTCCAAACTACCTGCTTACACAGAATGACACTGTGTGCCCCCTGAGACAAGACACCCACACAGTGGTGCATATTTTCTCTGCTGACCAGAGTCTCTGGAAGGATTAAACGTATGAATCACGATGTTCAACAGAAATCACAGTTTTGGAACGAAAACACAGAAACCTAGAGAGGGATGAAAAGCAAACTGGATTCAAACCATACAAAAAAAAAATAATAATAAAACTGGAGCAAAACAGAAGAGACGCAAACAGAATCTGGTATGTCCATGCTGGTGGAAAAAAAAGGGAACATTAAAGCAACTGAAACCAACAATGTTAGTTCATAAATAAATACAGATAAACCACTTGTAATAATTAAAACAAAAGAACGAAAAGGTTCAACAAAGCCATGCCAGAATACCCCGCTGTTAGGAAGCTGCAGATGTTTGTTGCAATTACAGATTTTTTTGTTGTTGTGTCTGTGACATGGGGAAAATGGGCTGTGGGTGGTAAAAAAATAAAATAAATCGTGGCCATTACGTCTCATTTTAGAGATGAAGTCAGCATGTGGTATTCCGGGCACTTTGTTTGAGGTTTAACTTTAGCATGAATGCTTTTGAAGGTACACCTTTGGCATTTACCTCTTGACTCCGTAGCTGGCGTTTAGTAAATTGTCGAGTCTGCAACGCAAGAGGGAGAGTGAAGGGGGTGCAGAGGTTAGTTATGGGATCTACAAGGAAGGGTGGGGGACTTTCATGGTTATTATGTAGCTCCATCATCAGCTGTCCTCCAGAGGGCAACCTTCACTTCAACGCACTTCCAACCCATCCACCCACAATGAGTCATAGTCCTGCTGGTATTTATTCTTTATACTGAGTTAGTAGCTTTAATGCAAACATAGCCCATTATTCAACTACTGAATTAAAAATGTGTACTTTCAAAAGAGATTGTTTGCCCCCAACAATTTCTTTTAGTTTTTTTTTTTTTGCAAATAATAATACCCGAGGACTTTGATTTACAAAACGTTAAATCTTGAATTACATTAGCATGTAAATATGTCGTCGTTTCATTTCTTTTGATGCCCTCAAAGCCTTGGAATGTAAAAGGCTGTATTCAAATGGAGTTAATGTTATTCTTGAACCTGGAAAAATCTAGTGCCTTACATTGTGTTTGAGCTGCTATTTGGATCTGGTCCCTTTCCCAGTGAAGGGATCACACTGCAGTTTAAAAGAAAGTTAGAGAAAAAGAGTGAGAAGGAGGGAAAGTAAAATATCGCCAATTATGTCTTTTCTGTAGCTAATCGATAAGCAATTACAGCTTTTCTAGTGATGGAAAAATAGCTTTTGCTTGTTTTTTAACATTGCAGACTTCACAATTTTTGCACATTATTAATAGAATTAACACAATTTTGTTTTGCTCGAGCTCAAAAATTAACGTTTACGTGTAACTTGGCTTTGAAGCATTCAATAGTTCATCAACAATCGACAAGCTAATGGTGGGGTTCAAACGCAGGGTGGGGTTGGCGTAGGTTCAGTACCTGAAGCGCTGAGTTTGGTGGTGCAGGGGTCCCGTGTAGCGACGGGCAGCAGTTTGGTACAGCTGAGTCAGTAAGGCCTGGCCCGTCTTCTGACTGGGGTTGTTGGCGAACTTGACAGTTATGGGCTCAGCAGCACCCAAAGGCTTCTGTCCGTTCAGACCTTTGATGGCCTCTTCTGCTTCATTACGCTTGTCAAACCGGATGAAGCCCACTCCTCGGGATATGCCTGCTCCGAATAAGAAAGCACACCGACCTTACTGTTTTGTCATCGGTGACCACTGCTGCCTGAACGTCTGGACACCCGGACAGGGTGCGGCGCGCAGTAAAGCTGTACCTGTGACTTGGTCCACGAGGATGCGGGACGTGATGATGCGACCGTATTGGGAGAACAGTTGCTCCATGTCTTTCTGGCTCATGGTTTTAGGGAGTCCGCTCACATAAAGGTTGGCATCACGAATGGAAGCTGAGCTTGGCCGAGCATATGATACCTATGACACAGAAGAGAATTTGTTTAAATGTCTCTTAAATCACAGAAAATCGCTGTTAAATTTGAATCAAACGGAAGCAAAACCTTTTGGGGCCGGACTGAACGCTAATCCCTGATTCATCCTGCTCTCCACAGACTAATTTGTCTCCGTCTGTGTCCTCAGTCGGTGCCTTTAATATCAAATTCGGCCATAATGAGACCACCACAGACAAAAACCATGACAGCTATAACTATTACTCCAACTGAATCCATTCATTGGTTAACAAGTCGATTGTTTTCTGCTGAAAAACATCAGCTTTAGTTAATTTTTTTTCTAAATTCTCCAGAGGCTTAATTAAAGCAGCATCATTTTTGATGCATCTGTTTTGATCCCTTAAGGTTTTCCTGTTAGCTGGTCCCCTTTCAGCACATTTTAATTCCCACTTTGGCAAAACGATATCTAAGTGATCGTTCCAGCGATTGACCTATTGTTGTTTTTTTCGGTTTATGGGAGTCTTTGAACACTTGTGTGACGGATAGAGCGCTTCGGAGCATTGTTAAGAGCGCTGTGTTTGTGTGTGATGGAGAGACAGAGTGAGTGTTGTCTGCGATAGGCCAAGCTGTAGACCTGCCTCCTCCTTTTGTGCCTATTCTCTGGGGGGTGGGCGGGGGGGAACAGCTCCATGAGCAAACAGCAAACATCGAAGGTGCAACCCAACCGTGCAACTTATAAACACAACGCTTTGTATCATAAAGAGAATTTGTAGACTCGAGGAGTATACTTCTTTAATTCGGACACAAGCGCTGGAAGTTCATGCGTGTATTTGCTTTGGGGTGAATACAGGTGTTCTGATTACATCCATCAGGCCTGAGCACCAGTGCCTTTTGTGTCCACAGACAGACTGTATGAGCGGGAGGGTTGTGCGGTGCACTGATTAGGGTGTTCTGGACGAGTCAGGGGGGAGCAGCTCTGTTCGGGGAACACAGGCTGCCCTATAATTAACCCTCTCCCTGTCGCTCCCACAGTACAGATGGTGCCTGAAGCCCATATGGCCTCTAATCCTGTCATTGGCATTCTGCTCTCTGAGCTACTCCCTGTCCTTCCACTGCCCCCCCTCCTCCCAAACACCTCACTCCTTCCTTTGATGCTTATATCAGAGAGTTAAAAATATTGACCACAGGAGCTGCTTTTTTCCCCCAATTAATTTTTTTAACAAGTTAACGACAGTCCCATTTTTCTCTAAATCCATTAGGTTTTATGATTAAAATGACCCAGTGATTAATCGTCATGAATGTTTTATAACTTTTTTTTTTTTTTTTTTGCCTTTTGTTGCTCATCTAATCTTGTGGTTTGAATATTTTCTTTCAGCTACGTTCTCGACCTAAATTTGAGTTCAGTGTAAAAGATTTGAATTTCGCCAACATCTGCTGGAACATCACCTGTTCTGGAGATCTGGTTGTCCTATCCTGCAGTTTGTTTCGATGTTTGGTCTACTTTGATCCGGCTGGAAGGAATCAGAGTTTAATAACATAACCCCCCCCCCCCAGTTATCATCTTATTTTGGGACAAAGAAGCCCCCTAATTAGCCTGGATTGGAGGCAGATGGGCTAACCTGCACTGACCCTGGTGCGGCCCAGGCAGGCTACCTAATTACATTTCCATCATAATAACCACCGCATGCTGTCCGCCTCTTGCTTTCTGACCTCCACTCTCTCCTCCTCTTTTCACCCTTTTTCATCCTTCCTTTGTTCAAGCCACCGCTCCCTTCTGCCTCCTCCTACCCCACATTTTGCCCCCCCCTTTTTTTTTTGACATGCTTCGCCTCCTCTTTCAGCCTTGACAAAATCTCCACTTCCTTTCTCTTTGTCTGGCGCGCTTCCAAGAATTCAAAATGATTTTTTTTCTCCCCC